GCTAAATAAATATTGTTTGCTTCAACTACTAAAATACTGTGGCAACAGTTGATTTAACAGCTACAATTATTTGTCATGACAAGATAATATAGTCATGAATTTATTTTTGAGATAAAATTTCGCAGATAATCATTATTTTTTGCCATAAGTTAAAATTTACTATATCAATGGTAATCTTTTAGACACATAAAATTATTTAAAACAAAATCGTGTAGCAAAATAAATATTTTTGCTTCAAATTATTTAAAAACTAGTTAGCTTAACAATTACATAGATAGAACAAAATATCTAGTTATTTATCACTAAGATTATTATTCATATGAATTTTTGTATAATTTTGATATATCTAGATACACAAAAAATATCGAATTTAATATGGTTAATATCTACGTATTGGAAAACTAATCATATGATATATTTCATTAAATAAGTGTTAGTTATAAGTTCCATTTATAATTAAAATAATAAAATTATATCTAATTAATGAATAAATAACCATTTAACAATATATATATATATATATATATATATATATATGTTATAATAATGGTATAATATATGTTAATATGTTATAATAATGGTACATTACTATGCCAATAACTTATTAGTTATCATAAATTAAATTATACATTAACTAAAAAAAAAATTAAATTATACAATAAATCTCAAAATTGAGAATTTAATATAACTCGGAAGGGGAGATCTCTCTTGTGACTATTATTTTATATTTTATAACACTTACATAATTTTAATATTATTAGTTTCTATTTTTTTTCAAATAATAAAATTTTTATTTAACTAAGTATAAATATGTATATTCACTAGTTCATTTTTGACTCTAGAACTAGTCCTCATCTTTGTAACTTTCTATGGACACTTCCTCCTATTAGTTGGATTCTATTACAATATATACCTATACTTAGTTTGGGTATGATTATTAGTTTCTATTTAAAAATGTTAAGAGTTTAATATGTGTTGATATAAGAGTGTAAAACAAAACTAACTAGTATATCATAATTAAAAACNCTCTCTTGTGACTATTATTTTATATTTTATAACACTTACATAATTTTAATATTATTAGTTTCTATTTTTTTTTTGGGTCAAACAATACAATCTTTATTTAACCAAGTATGAATATGTACATTCACTAGTTCATTTTTTACTCTAGAACTAGTCCTCATTGTCACGACCCGGATTTCCCTCGTGATGGCGCCTACTCGTGGTAGCTAGGCAAGCCAACTTAATTACCTTTCCATCACTAGCAATTATCTTTAACAGTTTATAACATCAATATAGAACATAAAGTCTAATAAGAACAATAGCGGAAGTCTGTCTTAAAATGATGAATTTAAAACGCGGAATAGTCAAAAACAACCTCTACCCAAGATTTGGTGTCACATTACTCACGAACCACTAAGGATAAACTAAATACAAAGGTCTGAAAGAAATATAACAGCTGTCTATCTCGAAACAAGGAGGCAACAGTCTAAAAGAAAACAATGAGAAGAGACGCCGGGCATGCGGATGCCTGCAAGGCTACCTCAGTCTCGTGAATATGAATCGCCTGCTTCCGAACTACTGCTGCTGCTGTTCCTCAAAACCTGGACCTGTGCAAAAATGCACAGAAGTGTAGCATCAGCACAACCGACCCCATGTGCTGGTAAGTGTCTAGCCTAACCCCGGCGAAGTAGTGACGAGGCTAGACTGGACATCACATAAACCTGTGCAGTTATAGATATACGGCGGAAATCGAATACAAAGCAATTACCAACATGGGAGGGGAAACATGCTATGGGGAGTTACAATAATAACAATAATCCAGAGTAACAACTAAAGCAACTTAGGTTCACAGTGAACAAGGAATCAATACTCAAATGTAAA